GGTTCCTTCTCTTTGTGTGCAGGAGATTGTTCTTCCTTCGTATGAAGAGGCCCTGTCCTTTGTGTCTCTGGTTGATGGTTACTTCCGGCTGACCACGGACTCCAACCATTACCTGTGCCATGAGGTGGCCCCCCCGCGCCTGGTGATGAGTGTGGTGAATGGGATTCACGGACCTCTGCAGTATGTATACAATGTCTCACACGTCAGCCGTGTCGTCTGTTCTCTCCTACTATCAGCGCGCCTCAGTGTCCTCAGCATGGATCGGCCATTGCATACATAACACTATTATCTGCCAGAACTTTCTTCTTCTTCAGCCCGGACTTTCTCGGCACCGGTTCTGGAGATTTTCTGTCCAATGGGCAGCGGCGTCCTCAGCCTGGAGTGCCGTGTCCCTCGCTGGACATTACGGTGAGGGCCCGGGAGTGACTTTTGGGTGCCGGGATCTGCATTGGGCACATTCCAGGTCCAGAGGTGCCGGCATCGCCTCGGTACTTGCTCTGTCTCTGTGAGTGGGTCGGTCTGGCTGAGCACCGGAAGCTCATTGGGTGCCACGTTGCCCCATTCTTGACTCTGGGGGATCGCCTCTGCGCGCCTTCCTGACTCTGGAGGATCGCCTCTGCGCGCCTTCCTGACTCTGGGGGATCGCCTCTGCGCGCCTTCCTGACTCTGGAGGATCGCCTCTGCGCACCTTTCCCACTCGTTCTCTATGTAGATTGGATTGGAAGCACTTTGATACTTTGTCTCCTCCCCCCGGTAATGATTTCTCTCTTCCCGAAAGTAGTTTCTGCTTCTCGCCTCAATAAGCACATCGTCCCTCTGTGCGGCTCCGGCCCATGGAATGGAAATGTCCCCCAGGCGAGCGGCCCCCAGGCGAGCGGCCCCCAGGCGAGCGGCCCCCAGGCAAGCGGCCCGTCTGCTTGTTGCGTCATCTCTACGTGGCTCACGTTCCAGCCCGTGGTCCCATGAATCGGGTTCCACCCTTTCCTGTCCGGGAGCCCTGGGCTAGATCCGTGAGCTCTCATTGGACGGAGCTTCTGGTTCCCACCACCACGGGGTCCTCTGTTCACACGTTCTCCGCGTCCTGCCAGGGGGATGTTCCGGGTCATGTGACGCAGCTTCGGGGATAAGTTCCTTCGGGCGGCATTTTTCAGCTTCGGGTTGTCCCCGGTTCTCTGGTGATGGTTTGCCGTGCTGCCGGCGCCTCGCATGGACGGCTCCTCAACGTCCCAAAGGTTGAAGACCTCCCGTGTCCCTGATGGAGGAGCGGACCTGAGCGGGCCCACGAGCGGCCGCCATCACTGAGCCTGAAATCGGCTTTATAATGGAAACGTGTTTTCTGAATACAATGTCATTATGTAGATGGGGGAGGGGCGGGGCCCGGGAAGACAATAGAATGACTACGTAGTCCTCTTCATTGTATTGGTTGTGGATGGAACCGTTGGGAACCCGTCGGGTTTTTATGGGTCTCTCTGTATTTTGCGGTCACCCTGAGTATTGATCTGTCATTGGGACAGAAATGCGCCCAATGAGGACGCGGTGACCACGAGGACGGGACTTCCCAATCTCCTCCTCGGTGGGACACGATAACGTTCCTCCTTCTCCAAGGTCCTCACATGTCCGGTTCCTCCCGCAGGGAGCAGTACGTGGTGCAGAAGCTGAGGCGGGAGGAGCAGGCGGACGGCTTGTACGTCATCCGATGGAGCGCGTTCAACTTCAGCCGGCTCATCATGACGGTGAAAGGATCCAACCAGGTCAGTCCGTGAGAACCGGTAA